TCAGGCTGATTTCACCCCAAGGCTGATTTCTGTGTCTCCAGCTGATTCTACCTGGTCTGCCATTAGCTTCCTTGAGAGCTGAGGTTGAATTTCACCCACAATACTCCTGGACCCCTAACCTCCTCAGAATTGTAAAAAAATAAAAAGGAGCTAGATGATAGTACAGCAGGTAAGGTGTTTGCCTTGCATGCAGCCGACCTGGTTCAATCCCCAGCACACAGGAGTGATTTCTGAGTGCAGAGCCAGGAATAAGCCCTGAGCACCATAGGATGTGGCCCCCAAAACAACAAAAAAGAAATTGTCACCAAAAAAAAAAAAAAAATATATATATATATATATATATATATATATATATGGGTGGAGGGAATTGCACAACTGTTAGGGCACATGCCAACACCACACAGTCCTCTGAGTATCATCAACCCCAGAGGTTCCATACCCTGCCGGTATTCCTGACACACCAGGACCCAAGTAGTACCATATCCTCAGGCCTTGCACTGAATCACCAGCTGAGCCAGCTGAGAATCACCAGTGGGACCCCCAGCATCCTGAGCACTGCTTGGGAGACTCCCCTTCAAAAAATTCTCACCCTGGCCCTGGCTTCACAAACCAGCCTGAGGGCCCACAGTACTTAAACCAGAATCATCAAAGCAGATGTGTCCCTAATAAGTTCCAGACTTGATTATCCAATGGGACCAAATGTGGGTGTGCCATAAACGCTCAGGTCTGATAATCACTCTTCCCCACACCCCTCCAGCATGCCTAGTGCCCCACCCATGTCAACTAATGTCATTCTGGTGGGTGGATCCTGTTGAAGGCAGGTAGGTAGGTGGACTCTGGTATGCGCTTTGGGAAAGTAATAAAATTTAGCAAGAGATTGCCCAGCTCTGAAGTAGCCCAAAAGTCTGAAGACCACATCCTTTTGAAATACAAATCCTGAGCTCTTTGGAGAGGAGAAACTGAGACATCCCCCCCAAAAAAATGCAGAAATTCAAGGCCCAACCTAGATATGGGTGGACCCTTCGGAAAGGAGAAGTTACAGAAGAATCTGAGATTATGAACAGACCACCATCCACAGTGTAAGGGATGAGATTATGAAGAAACCATCAACAGCACAAGGTTTTCCCTTTGACAACACCCAGATTAACTTTTTTTTTTTGTTTTTTGGGTCACACCCAGCGATACTCAGGGGTTATTCTTGGCTCTGCACTCAGGAATTACTCCTGGCGGTGCTTGGGGGACCATATGGAATGCTGGGGATTGAACCCAGGTCGGCCGTGTGCAAGGCAAACGCCCTTCCCGCTTAATTTCTTCTTATTAAAGGGGCTTAACAAAAGTTAATCTGGGGGCTATTGCTCCGGCCCCCAGATTAACTTTTGTTCTTGTTTTGGGGGGTCATAGTGGTGCTCAGGGCTTATCCCTGGATCAGGGGACCAGAGATTGCCAGGAGTGAACACTGCTGGGTATAGCTGAAAACAAAAGGAGGAAGAAAGGAAGGAAAGAAAGAAAAAAGAAGGAAGGAAGGAAGGAAGGAAGGAAGGAAGGAAGGAAGGGAGGGAGGGAGGGAGGGAGGGGAGGGAGGGAAGAAAAAGAAAGGAAGGGTGGAATGGTAGAAGGAAGGAAGGAAGGAAGGAAGGAAGGAAGGAAGGAAGGAAGGAAGGAAGGAAAAGTGAGAGGCAAGAAAGGGAGGGAGAGAGAGAGAGGGAGGTAGGAAGGAAGGAAAGGAAGGGAGAAAGGAAGAAATTAAGAAAAGAAAGGAAGGAAGGAAGGAAGGAAGGAATGAAGGAGACAAAGATAAGCAAGTAACATACATGTTCAAGGGGGAACACACTGAAGTACAAGCCCCTATGATTTTCGAAGGACCTTTTGCACAATGCCTCCAAGTGTTTTTTTTTCCTGCAATTCTCTATAAACACAGAACTTACCCTGTGGCCAGAGATAGTACAGTGGATAAGGTACTTGCCTGGCACATGGCTGACCCGGGTTCGATCCCCAGCATCCCATATGGTCCCCTGAGTCTGCCAGGGGCTCTTTGGAGAGGGGAGAAACTGAGGCACCACCCAGATGCAAAAATCCAAGGCCTTACTTCGAGGAGGGAGAATCCCTTAGGAAAGGAGTGCAAGTAGCCAATCCAGGTTCAATTCCAGCATCCAATATGGTCCAAGCTTGCCAGGAGTGATCCCTGAGCATAGAGCCAGGAATAAGACCTGAGCACAGGAGGGTGTGACCCACAAATCAGAAACAAGAAACCAGGGCCAGGGATGCAGTTAATGCTTGCTGCATTAACACTGCATGCAGCCAATATTAAATCCCAGGCACCACCCCAGCAGGAGTGATTCCTGAGCACAGAGCCAGGGATAACCCTTGAACATGGCTGAGTCTGATCCCAAAACCAAAACAAACAACAAACAGGAATTGGATACTGGATGACAGCTCCAGAGGAGAATTGAGAACTGGCCCTGCCACCTGCTTGTGCCCTCTGACTTCTCACCACCTGGCTCCAGCAGTATCAACCCTCCCGCTTGCTGTGCAATGCATCTTGTCCAAATCCTTCCCTCTTCCTGGATTCTCAGCCACTGTTCATCTCGCGGACTCTTACCATTAGGACAAATCAAATGTCTGGTCCTTTTATCAAGTCTTTCCTGTCCACTGGACCCATACTGACTATTTTCTTCTTTTTTTGTCCCTCTGGACAATGAAGAAACATCTGGGAAAGCCTTTCCCTAGACACCAGGTCCTTTATGGGCAGGGCAGGAACCATGTCATTTTCTTCATCGCAGTATTTTTGCATTTGTCTCAGTGCCTGATTCAGAAGACTTATAATAAATGCCTACCTGGGCCCGGGAGACAGCACAGTCATTAGGTTTGATCAGTTTCCAGATTTGCTTCCCAGCACCACATGGTGCCCCAGCACCGCCAGGCCCGGATACTCCTGGATGCCCCAAGGCCCAAGCACCAAGACCATCCTCAACCCCTTGTATTGAACCGCTGGTCTGATTGGACAAGAATTCACAGCAGGCCCCTGGGCACCATTTGGGAGACCATGCCAAAAAAGAAAAAACCAAAACAGGTGCCAGAGTGATAATATAGAAATTAAGACACATCTGCTTTGCATGCAGTCGATCCTGGTTCAACCCCCAACACCACATATGGTCCCTTGAGCACTGCCAGGAGTGATCCCTCAGCACCACTGGGTGACTCAAAGGCCAAAAGTTAAAAAAAAATCAAAAAGTCTACCAAAATAATAAATATTTTCATACCAAGCCCTTGATTTTTAAGCAAACCATTCTAACAATCTTGGTGACCTAAAATCTCAGGTCTGGGAAAGAATAGCCCATGACGCCTAAGAAAAGCACTCATCCTGGTTGAAGGTCAAGAACTTGGGAGGAGAAAGGATTACAATGTACATACGCAGAGAGACAACCTCAACAAGAAAATCTAGTCAACTTCCTTTCAATCATTTTGTTGCTTTTGGGCCGTACTTGGCAGTGCTCAGGAACTACTCCTGACATGGTGCTTAGAGGATCATGCCTTGCTGGGGTTAAACCTTAGGGCTCCCGCATGCAAAGCATGCATTCCAGCCCTTTAAATCACCACCCTGGTCCCTTGTCAATCATTTACACAGATGAAACTAGAGTAGCACAAAAACACCAGGCAGAAAAGAATCCTTAGATCAACAGCTGTCACCCTCTAGACATGGATAATTTCTGTGCAGCAAATTTCAGATTCTATTTGAATCAAGTTGTGAACTCATAATCAAGGATGCTATGTAGGACTTTACACAGATTAGCTGTAATGCAGATATCTGGTGCAGGACAGAACATTCCCCTTACCTGGCACAGTCCGGGGTACCTACCTAGGTGTCTCTTGCAGCTGCCCTTCCTGATGTTGATAGAAGCCAGGACTACATGGAGACTGGACCCTAGACGATCCCAGGCAGATCAAAGCTAGAATAGACACTGGCAGTCTTCCCCTGCCTCTGCCTGGGCCACACCTTAGACGTGGAAGTGGCCTTGCACTTCGACCTGCTCTTCTGTGCCCTTGGCTACAGCTGGCCCTGACCTAGCAACAAGATTCTGACTACCCAGGAAGAGTGAAATGTGAGAAAAGGGGAGATTACCCAAAGCCCAGAGCAGCCCAGGAGAAGCAGAGCAGTAACAACCTTTCCAGGCCCGAAAATACTGGCTCCTGTGAACTTTACTGCACCCCTCAGGCTAAACTTGTGCAAGGGGTGTGTTGTGCTCTGACCCTGGTTAAAGGGATCAGGCTGGAGAGGAGGCTCAGGCCTGCAAGAGGAAGATGACTCTAGTCTACTTTATCTTGCCCCCATCTTCCTGGGGGCAGGGGACCAACCCCAAAGCCTCACGCATGCAAGGCGTATCTTGGGCTACATCCTGGATGTTGCGGGCTGTGCCTGATCCCAAACCTCTTCCTCCTTCCCATTCACATCTTCCTCCTCACCCCACAATCTCTTCCTGACCTTATTGCACCTCCTACATGCCAGAAGTACCCCTCCCTGACGCCCACACACACAAACATCTAACCTTAGTAATTCACAAGTCATTTCCACCACTCTCTTCTCCCAATTTCTTCCCTCTCTTCTATGTCTCCCAACACCTTGTCGGAGTCTGGCCCCTCATTCCATTTCCCAGGCCACCCACCTGTCTGCCACTACAGGGTACTTTCTGATCGCGTCCAGGAACCAGCCCTGGGCTGACCACTTAAACCTGACCACACCCCTCTAGCCCTGGAGGCTCATCCCCCGCCCTGAGCCTGGCCTGCAGCAGTCCCTATACCTTTAACAAACCTCCACGTGCATCTTAACGGCGGTGACAGCATTTCCTTGTCTCTCTGCGCCCACCCCCGGAGGCACCGCCCATTGGTCGGCGGCTTCTTCTATGCTCGCTCTGATTGGCTCCGCTCTCGGAAAACTCCAGCCAATGGCCTCTCCGCACCTGTCTCCCTCCTTCTTACTCTGGCCTCTCATTGGCTCCGAGAATTTAGACCTGATAGCCGGGCTTGGCGAGTGACAAAATCTTCCTTCCTCAGGGTAGACACCACGGCTGTGAAATTGGTTCCGAACCCAACGGAACCCAGCGCCGGGCGACGCCGGGTCACGTGGCCAAGCAGTCCCATGACGTTCGGGCTGCGGGGCGTCACCGTGACGTTCTGGAGGTCTCCCGTGCGGCCTTACTACCTTCGCTACCTGTGCAGCGACGGCCCCGTCATGGACCTGGGACCGATGCGCAAGAGTTACCGTGGGGACCGAGAGGTGACTGGGTCTCCCCCTGTGGGTGGGGAGGAAGAGGGCCCCAGAGTTTTCTCCCGAGGGAAAGAGGAATGGGAGGAGCCCCCTCGGGTTCTCTAGTGCCACCCCGTGCGATTAAGGGTCACCTCCCTTCCACCCGCCGTGGGAGGAGAGGGGTTCAGGGACGATCATGCGGAAGGGGCTTTAGGAACCCTCTGAACGCGGACTGAGGTATCTCCCAATAGTGGGTTACGACTCTGGAAAGGGCCTGAGTGCAATGCAGCCGTTCACCTTGACAACTGACGGCTCTGGGCCTCAGATTCCTCCTGTGTTGGTTCCTATGTCACAGGGATATATCGGGGTGATACTTGTAAAATGCTAAAAACAGTGGTAATCAGTTGAAGAGTGATACACGCAGGGAAGGAGGGATAAAACAGAAACGGGGGAGGGGCGGAAAACTCCTAGCTCTCAGGAGAGAAACCAAAACTATTTTGGAATTGGGGCCCAGAGCCAAGGTTAGTTACTAAGTCTGGTTTCATGGGAGCATTTCTAGAAATGCCAGTCGAGAAAGCAGTTTTTCGTGAACTGTCAGCCCTTCTAAAGGAGAACTGATGGGGGTGGTGCCCAGGAATCTGCCTTTGTTGGGGCTCAACAGCTGATAGGTTTGGCACCGGGATGGAAATCCTGATTCATCTGTCACTAGTTATTGGACCCCGCAAGTTTTTTCACCTCTTTTTTTTTTTTTTTGCCCCACCTAGAGATGCTCAGTTGTTGTTCCTGGCTTTGCACTCAGGGATCAATCCTGGCATTGCTCAGGGGACCAGATGGGGTGTTGGGGCTCAAACCTGGGTTAGCTAGATGCAAGGCAAGCTCACTACCTGCTATATTATCTCTCCAGCCCCATGTTTTTTCACCTCTTGTGCCCATTTCCTCACCTGTAAAATGAGGTTAAGAAACCTAGTTCCTGGGGACTATTTTCTGTTATGAAGTTTTTGTCACAAGAACTTGGACAACTGAGTTAGTATTGGAGAGTATCTAGAACAAGTGCCATGTTCACAGGACTGTGTATTTTGATTTTTTTTTTTTTGCCAGGTTGGGGTGGGCCACACTCAGCTGTGCTCAGGGTCTACTCAGGGGACCATAATACTCATGCTGGGGAATAGAACTGGGATCTGCCACATGCCTGGCAAACACCTTACCCTCTTAGGACTGTCTCTCATTCTGTGGATTCAACTTTCTTTGTTTATTTTGGCCAAACCCAGCAGTGCTTAGGGGTTACTCCTGGTGGTCAGTGCTCAGAGGACTATATGTGATACCAGAGATCAAACCCGAGCCAACTGTGTGTAAGGCAAGCACCTTATCTGCTGTTCTTTCCCTCTGGCCCCATTATGTGTTTTGGTTTTTGTTTTGATTTTGGACCATACCCGGAAGTACTCAGGCCTTACTCCTGATTTAGTACTCAGGGATCACTCCAGCTAGTGCTCAGGGGATCATATGGAATGCCAGGGATCGAACCCAGGTCTACCACATTCGAGGCAAGCACCTTACGTGGGTCAGCGGCATGCAAGGCAAGCACCTTATCTCTCTAGCCCTGTGTACTTTGATTAAATGAAGTAAACTTCTCCCTCTCCAGGCATTTGAGGAGGCTCAGCTGGTCTCCCTGGACCCCATGAAGCAATTTGCTGCGTGGTTCGAGGAGGCCGTTCAGTGCCCTGACATAGGGGAAGCGAACGCCATGTGCTTGGCTACCTGCACCAGGTGGGCACAACCCTTCTGCATGAACACAGATAAAGTAGGATGTTCTCTGTTTACTGGAAACCAGTTTTATGGTTCTAGCTCTGTTATTAGCCTGTGTAGCCATTAGCACTTTACTTGTCTCCTCTGAGTCTTGTTTTGATTTACCTGTAAATCCAAGTTAAACCACTCAGTTCTATTTTAGAAGTTTCATTCGGGATTTCAGTCCCATTTTGTGTCATAAAATGTAATGTAATGTCTCGTCCATCTTTCCCCTCAAGGCACCCCACAGATACTCCCATTTGGTCCTCGTCCCCTCACTGACCCATTTCCATCACTCCTTTCAGAGCAACAGCTCCTGGTACCACTCCATCAATCTCTCTTCCTCACCTTGGCACAGTGCTTCACTACATCATTCAGTTGACAATCATTAGCCTTCTGAAACTTTCCTTGTTTTTATTTGCCTCTTTTTCAGCTCTTCCTACTTACTGAAGAGTAAGGTCTTGAAGGTGGGACTCTAGGACTGTGTCCCAAATGATGCTAGCTCTGGGCAAAATACCTGCACCTTCTCTGATCCCTAAGCATTGGCTGGTTGCATTACTTTATAGTTTGCTAGCGATAGCTAACATTATTGATCGTTAACAAGCACATTGCTTATTAGCTTCCTAGGGCTGGCATAACGTAGTAGCATTAGCTGACTGGTATACCGAAACATGCCCACAGTTCTGAAGGTTAGACTCCCAGATCTGGATGCTGCCAGAATTGGTATCCTGTGAGACCTCTTTTCCTGGCTTGCAGAATGCCTACTTTCACTGTGTGTGTGAATGGGGAGAAAGTTGTCTGGTGTCTCTTTCAATAATCAGCCCTATCCAATTATAGTCCCACCCTATGGCTTCATTCAGCCTTAATCACCTTCCAAAGTCTGGCTCTGGAAGCACTGACAGAGGGCTAGCGCTCCCACAGTTCCAGGAAGAACATCACCACAATTTGAGCAGTGACCCGAGTCACACTTCCAGTACAAGTAGTGGTGAGAAGCTTGAGTGTCCAGACAGTGCAAAATCAGGGGGCACTACTGGAAGAAGGGGTTCTCAGCTCCCTTGTGGGCTCTGACCGCTGCGCTCTGTTCTTCACGCAGAGACGGGAGGCCCTCTGCCCGCATGCTGCTGTTGAAGGGCTTTGGCAAGGACGGCTTCCGCTTCTTCACTAACTTCGACAGCCGAAAGGGAAAAGAGCTGGTGAGGGTTCCGGGTACAGCCTTCCCCACCGGCCTGCTCCAGCCTTTTCCTCATCGGTTGCCCACTATGTGCCCACCGGCTTTTGCACTTGCCACGCCTTTGCCGTGAAGAGTGCTCTGCCCCAGCACCCACCTCAGCCTCTACCTCCAGCCCCAGCATTACGTCTGCAGAAAAAACCCTCCTTGGCACCAATGCTGCCCATGTCCTGTGTACCTTCACTGTCCTCTCTGCCCTGGTTTGGTCTCTAACTGTACTGATCTGTGATTAGCGTTTGTCTGTGGGGAGGGCGGGGCCAGGGGGCAGCTCCTGACATGGAGCAGAGCTGCAGTGAGTGGACACCTCCCCAGAGGCCTCTGAGAGCTTCCTGTTCGCATCCATTTGTGCTCTCCCCTTCCTGATGGCGGTGGTGATTTCTGTGGGGTCACCCAATCTGGGCTGCTGGACACCAGAGATATCACACTTTTGGATTTGGTTGGGGTTTTTTGTTTTTTTTTTTTGTTGTTGTTGTTGTTTTTTAAGTTTTGTTTTTGTTTTTGTTTGGCCTTTTGGGCTACACCCAGTGGTGCTCAGGTTACTCCTGGCTCTGCAGGAATTACTCCTGGAGGTGCTCAGGGAACTATATGGGATGCCAGGGATCGAACCCGGGTCAACCGCATACAAGGCAAATACCCTCCCCACTGTACTATTGCTCCGCCCACTCACACTTTGTTTTGGCACTGAGGGACCCCAACCAAAGAGGTGCCCAGGCTTTCTTTTTTAAATTTTTTTAATTGAATCACAGTGAGTTAGACCCTTACAAAACTGTTCATGATTAGGTTTCAGTCATGCAGTGTTCTAACACCCATCCCTCCACTAATGTACATGTCCTAGCATCAGTGTCCCCAGGTTCCCTCCCATCACCCCCTACCCCCAGCCTGCCTCTATGGCAGGTGCTTTTCGTCTCTCTCTCTCTCTCTCTCTCTCTCTCTCTCTCTCTCTCTCACTCTCTCTCTCTCTCTCTCCTTTTGGTGCCTGGGCTTTCGCTGCAGTGGGTGGGGGTACTGAGGATGGAACCTCACCCTCATCACACTTGCAGGGCAGATGCACTGCCCCCGAGCTGTCTCGACATCCCCCTCCACTCCAGCTTCATCTTCTGCCGGCTCGCGAGCTGATGCCTCATTATGGTTGGCTCAGTTTATCCTCCCCCCCGCCCCACGCTCATACTTTCTGTGTGAAGTCTGCCTGCCTCCTCACTTGTGAAAGTAGGCCTCTCTTTGGGGGCCTTCAGTGGGCTATTACAGTGCCCACGTCTGCCTCGGGGCCACCCGCTGCATACTCATGTCCCCCCCACCCACCCCTTGCCCTCTCCAGGGCTGCCTCTGAATCTTCTTTCATTTCCAGGATTCCAATCCCTTTGCTTCCCTGGTCTTCTACTGGGAGCCTCTAAACCGGCAGGTGAGTGCGTGTTTTGAGGGTAGCCGGGGTGTGTTCTGGACTGGGGGCTGAAGCCTGATTTTATGGGGGAATCCAGTGAGAGCCCTGCTCTGGGCGGGTGGCACCGGCTGCCGTCCAAGCGGGGCATCCCTGCCTAGGTGCGTGTGGAGGGCTCTGTGAAGAAGCTGCCCGAAGAGGAAGCCAAGGACTACTTCCACTCCCGCCCGAAGAGCAGCCAGATCGGTGCTGTGGTCAGTCACCAGAGTTCCGTCATCCCTGACCGGGAGGTGAGCAGGGCTCAGATGGTCCTTGAGGTGGACCCCGGGTAACAGGCTGGTCTGGGGTTCAGTGGAGGCCAGCCTCTTGTGCCCAGTGGAGGGTTGTTCAGTGAGCTGTGGCAGGACTTGGCTCCTACTCCGGCTTCCTTCCCTTGAGCAGTACCTGAGAAGGAAGAACGAGGAACTGGAGCAACTCTACCAGGGCCAAGAGGTGCCAAAGCCAAGCTACTGGTGAGTGATCCCCAATGGTCTCTGGTGCCCAAATGGCTCTTGAACTTGGGGACCTCAAGGCTTCTCCCTGGGGCCCTTGCTGGGAAAGCATGCCCAGCACTGACACCTGTATTTCCCCTGCAGGGGTGGCTACATCCTGTACCCACAGGTGATGGAGTTCTGGCAGGGTCAGACCAACCGTCTGCATGATCGCATTGTCTTTCGGAGGGGCCTGCCCTCGGGGTCCGCCCCCGAGGGGCCCATGACCCACCGAGGAGAGGAGGACTGGCTTTATGAGCGACTTGCACCCTGAGCCTGAGCAGAGCAGCTGCAGACCAGAGTTGGGGCAGGGCACTCGGGGAGCACGTGGGAGGCCCTTCCAACCTGCACCCGCCCCCTCCAGCCTGTGACAGAGTGGACTCCCCTCCCCCCAGCGGAGCCTGAGCCCATGTCCCCATACCCCATGTGGTGTCACACCGGGAAAACGTTCTCAGGATGTGTTTTCTTTTCCCTTTTTTTTTTTTTTTTTTTTGGTTTCTATGATCAGGGGTTACTCCTGACTCTGCTCAGGAGTGACCCCCTAGCAGGGCTCGGGGGACAGTATGCCAGCCAAGATTGAACCAGGGTGAGGCAGCATGGAAGCTTTTACTCTCCCTGGGGAACTCCCTATCTCCCCGCCCAGCCCTCCCCCTCCAATTATGCTTGGGTTTGAGTTTTTTTTTTCCACCCACCCCCCACCCACCTTTGATTCGGGGAAATAGCACCCTCTAGAGGTGGCAGCTGGTGTGATGGCTTCTGGTGACAAGGTGGGCCCTCAGCTCTGCCTGTTACCAGGTGACATATCACATGGGACGTTAGTGCCAAAGCCGTATGGTTCCAGCATAAGCACCTGAGCCAGTCAAGCCCATCAGTTTTTTCTTGTCATCGGTTTGAAGTTTGAAATAGGGAGACCTGGAACAGGATGGTCACTGTCACCATGGCCTGTGGCTAACTGTCCTTGCTCCCTGGAGAGCCTGGGTCCCTCCTTTTTATACATGGACTGTACAGACCATCCTCCCAGCTCCAAACACTCATCTCTAAAATAAAACTGATCTTGACCTCAGCTGGCCAGAGTTCATTTCGTCTTGTGGGCAACTAAAAGAACTGAGAGTTTTTTTTCTTTAAGTTTATTATTAATTTTTTTTCTTTGCTTTTTTTGGGTCATACCCGGCGATGCACAGGAGTTACTCCTGGTTCATGCACTCAGGAATTACTCCTGGCAGTGCTTGGGGGACCATATGGGATGCTGGGAATCGAACCTAGGTCAGCGGTGTGCAAGGCAAACGCCCTACCCGCTGTGCTATTGCTCCAGCCCCTAAGTTTATTATTAATTTGATGTGGACTGGAGTGATACAAGCAGGTAGGGCATTTGCCTTGCACGCGGCCGACCCAGGTTCGATTCCTCTGCCCTCTCAGAGAGCCCGGCTAGCTACTGAGAGTATCTCGCCCACACAGCAATGCCTGGCAAGCTACCCGTGACGTATTCGATATGCCAAAAAACAGTAACAAGTCGCACAATTTGTTGTGAGACATTACTGGTGCCTGCTCGAGCAAATTGAACAACGGGAGGACAGTGCTACAGTGCTATTAATTTGATGTGGGGTCCATACCCAACTGGTGCTTAGGGGGAGCCATGTGGCGTGGTAATGGGGATCGAACTGGGGTCAGCCCATGCAAGACTTGTGCCTTAACCCCTGTAGTATCTCTCTGGCCCTTCAAGTTATTTTGATAGCTCTGACCACAAGGGGGCCAGAGAGAGAGAGAACAGTGGGTAGGACACTTGCCTTGCATGCTGGCTATCCCCAGCACCCCATATGGTTCCCTGAGCCCTTCCAGGAGTGATCCCTGAACACAGAGCTAGGAATAAACCCTGAGCCAGTGTGGCCCCCCAAAACACAAACATCTTTTCTGGTCCAAAGGACTCTGAGGTACAAGTTGCACAGAATATGGGGAAGAAATTACAATCAGGGCTGCCTGAGAGGGCGTGGGGCTGTCTGTCAGGTACTGAGAGCTCTGTCACAGGAGGTGTTCAATCCCAGTCAGTCTGGAGGGTTGTAGAAAGAGTTCTGTGCAGGTACCTCCGGAGAGACCAGGGAGGTTTTTAATCAAGCTTTACTCTCTATGCTTATCGACAAAGAGTGTAGTGTATGTGTGTGACTTTCTGAGTGTAAAATGTAAATGACACTGTGACTTTTTCACTACTCCATTCCCCTCTGCTACTGGGACTCCCAGCTCACAACTCTCATTCTCTGGAATGACTGTAGGAACCTTAAAAATCCTGATGCTGGGGCTGGAGAGATAGCACAGCAGGTAGGGCATTTGCCTTGCACACGGCCGACCGACCCGGGTTCGACTCCCAGCATCCCATATGGTCCCCCTGAGCACCGCCAGGAGTAACTCCTGAATGCAGAGTCAGGAGTAACCCCTGTGCATCGCCGGGTGTGACCCAAAAAGAAAAAAAAAATCCTGATGCTGCTGGCTGAGGAAATAGTACAGCGCACAAGGCACTTGCCTCGCACACAGCAGGCCCAGGTTCAACCTCCAGCATCCCATGTGGTCCCCTGAGCCCCACCAGGAGTGATCCCTGTGTGCAGGCAGAGCCAGGATTTAGTCCTGAGCATCCTCAAGTGTGGCCCAAAAATAACAAATTCTCACGCTGAGGTCTCACCCTCAAAGAAGATACATTCCCTGAGCAGCTGAGGTTCTGGGAAATCTAAAAGTTGTCTGGGAAATTTTGTGCCAATAAGGGTGAGACCCCCTGATGGTCACTTAGGAACACCACCGCCCTCCCTAGATCCCCGATCTCACCCCCTACCTAACAAGACCCCTGAGACCAGCCCCCCTTCCCCTTTCCCCACCTCCTTGCAGCTGGTCTTGCCCTACCTTCCACAGAGGTGTGTGCTGAGCTGTGTTTGCTCACTGAGCTGGAGTCTAGTGCCCAGGGTCCACCTGGATGAGTGGCTGGAGCCCCAGCAAGGAACCAGGCTAGTCCATGTTTGCAGTGACTAAGTCAGAATCAGAACCGGTATTTGCCCTCCTGGGCATGGCGCCGTGTAATCCCATCAACGGCCAAGACTCAGAGACTATAAAACCCAGCTCCCGGAAGCACTCAGCCGCATTTGCGGCCGCGCAACATCTTATCATCTCATTCCTACTTTGGACAAACTGGCAGGCTACCGAATGTAACCTGCCCACACGGCAGAGTCTGGCAAACTCCCCGTGGCGTACCCAATATGCCAAATACCAGTAACAATGATGGGTCTCATTCTCCTAACTCTGAAAGATCCTTGAATATGGCACCTTTAAAAAAAATCTCAGGGCTAGGATGAAGGAGACGTTACTGGGGCCTGCTCGAGGCAATTGACGAATAACAGGATGGTTGTGATTGTGATTGGGCATTGCCCTCACTCCCCTGTAATCTGGGTGTGGGCTTCAGTGTCTGACAGTGATAGACTCCTCCCAGGGAGCCTCCTGGGCTTGATCCCCCGCTTAAGGTGGAAAGCGGCCACCAAGACTCCCGGCTCACAGTTCTCATTCTCTGGAATGACCCGAGGAGCCTTAGAAATCCTGATCAGTCCTTCCCTGCCTTGTCCTGTTTGTGTTATTGGATGCTTGTGAGCCCAGTGTCGACTGTTACTTCTCTACCCACCAACCACAGTGCCAAGTCTGTAGGAAAAGTTGCCCAACTGAGTTTAATGTTCAACCCCCAGTGCCATCCCCATGCACATGGAGGAAGCACATTTAAGCGCCCGGGTCCTGCATTGCTTCTCTCCATGCAGGTTGGGCATCCAGCAGGGGGAGCCCGCAGCTTGAGGCTGGCCCCTCTGGGCAGTGCTGGCCAGTTCTGGCCAGGCTCTCTCGGCTCCCCCTTCCCCCGCTTGGGCCGTGTCCCAGTGAAACTGTGGTCGATAACCCGTAGCCTCTCCCCGCTCCCGCTCATATTTGTACTCTCAGTTCCTCCTCCTCCACACTGGTAAAAGCTTGCAGCTGCCTGGGCCTGATTCCCGGGCAGCTGACTCTCCCCCGGAAACTCCTGTTCAGGAGTGTATGTGCCATCATTCTGCAGCAGTGTGTGTGTGTGTGGGGGGGGGGGGGGGTGCATACAGAGTTCAGGGGGTGGCCGTGTGCTGCAAGCGTTAGGAGAACCAGTGTTGGTGGCCCTGGGACCATTATCCTCCCCTACCCTCGCCACGGAGCCTCTGGCCGAGCTGAAGTGGCAGGTCTCAATAGTCAGGGGACACTCAGCCTGTGGGTCCGACGTCTGTGCAGCCCCTTGAATGGAGCTTACCTGCCCCTGGGATCTTACCTGACATTGAGGCCCAGGTGTTGCCCTCTCTCGCCACCACTCCCCTCTGCAGGAAGTGATGTGTCCCTTTTCTTGTCCATTGTCCCAACTTCTCAGCAGCCCCCAGCAGAAAAAGCTCAAGACGGACAGGGCTCACACACATAGGCTGGCTCCAGTGTTTTGGGAGGGTGAGGGAAGGACCATACCTAATGGTGTTCAGGGTCTACTCCCAGCTCAGTGCTCAGGGGTTCTTCCCAGTGGTAACGGGATGAGGGGCTACCAGGAATCCAGCATGCAGAGAATGCACAGGGTAGGCCTCATTTCTGTACCAGTCTCCCACTGCAGGCACCAGACCTGGGGCAAGTGGACTGACCTCTCAGAACTTCAGCTGCCTCTGCTGATGAAGCATAGAGTGGACCAGTGGGCCTAGCCAGACTTACGCAGTATCTATCAGTAACTATAGGGGTGTGGATTGCTGGAACATGGGAGTTGGGTAATTGGTAACCCTAGAAAGTTCCGGGAGGTGGGAATAATGAGGCTTTGGGGAAGGTAGTGCCCTGGGCCCACTTCCCCTCCTGAAGCCCCTGCTCTCTGTTAGAGATCCTCCAGGCTGTGCGAATCCACCCATCAAAGGCCCTTTGTGTGGGCCTATTGGTTTGGCTGCTTCATTTCCAGGTCACTTGTGACTCCAGTGGGCGGGGAATGCCCAGTGGCTGACTAGAGCTGGCCTGGGCTCATCCAGTCACCACCACCTGTTTAGTATGGCCTCCCCTCAGATCTCCTTGCGTTCTAGAGATCTGGCCAATTTGATTTAGCTCCCAGATCCTGGGGCCTGAGAACAAATGAGCAGGACCTCCTAGCTGAGGTCATGGCTTTACCAGAAGCAGGATGATGGGGGTGGGAGGAGTCCCCCCATCAAGGAAAAGGGTCAGGACACCAGGATGGCTGAGCAACTCCCATCAGCCATCCACAGCTGGTCTTGGTCACCCAGAAGGGGAAACTGAGGTGCAGAAGTTTGTCCCAAATCACCCAGGTACCAACGAGTGGAACCAGAAGTTGTGTTCTGGAGAGACAACCCAAGGGGCCAGGGTTCCATTCCCGCACTTCAGGGTCCCTCTGAGCACTGCCAGGTAGGACCCAAAATCCAACAGAAAGAAGAAACAACCAGGATTCGAGTCCTACTCTCCAGACAAAGCGCAGTGACTGTGGGATTCGTCCCGCAGTGGTCCCTGAGCCCAGAGAAGTAGCTCTCCTGGTGGAATAGCTCTTTGGCTCTCTCTCCTCTGCCCCCCACCGCCACATGGAGCACGAGGGTAATGTGACACTGTTGACCCCACTGCTCCATGTCACACTTGGGACCCCATCCTAAGGCTTGGAAGGGCCCTGAGTAAAAGCTGCCATCAAGGAGAGATGAGAGACAGCTCTGATGCGCGTGGACAGGCTCTGCTTCTGCAGCGTCATTTATTACAGAGAACGCGATGCTCCAGGGACTGGACCTTGTGGGGGGTGGGGGAGAGACGTGACCCCCCGCATCTGGCTTCTGCTAGAGCCCCACACACACCCTTTTCCCAGTTTGGATCTGGGGAGCACTGGAACTTTCCCTCGAGGGGGTATGCGGGCAAGGGGGAGGTCTCTACCTGGCCTTCTTCAGCACCCCAGGGTGGCAATGGGTGCAACCGGAAGTTGAGTTCTGAGCGAGACAACCCAAGGGGCCAGGGCGTGCCAGGTCCTTCTCTCCCTACATACCTGGGGACAAAGTTCCAGGAAGTTGCCCACTG